TAAAATGTTCCTGATTATACAATTCTTCTGGTATTTACGCATAGACGTCCGTTTAGAAAAAACATCAATCAAAGCAACGAACCGATTGTCAATCAGCGGAACCTGTATTCAGATTCTGTTTGGCTCCTGTAACAGTCCCTCTAGCTGTGATAAAAGTAGGTTTAGAATAAGAGGGGTAGATATGAAAACCAAGATGGTGTGGCCTTTTTGGTCAGACTCCTTTAGCTTTATAATGTTGGTTCTACCTAGATTTCGCAAAATGATTGGAGCGTTAGGTAGACCTTGTGGAACGTACCTAGTGCTATGACCTCTGACTGTATGATGATTTTCATCATCAGACCGTTGAGTTGGTACTTTCCGAGACGTTTCGCCGACATTGTAGTCGACATCATGAATGAGAGGCGTCATCGTTAGCACAGAGTTACAACTTATTAAATTGACAAATGAGGGTAATCTCCTTGACTAGCTTTCTGTTCAACCGTCGTGGTATCGCTCTTACCTATTCAAAACATTCTGTGCTCTCGGTTCTTCAAAAGTCGCCCTAAAGTGTGTTGCTTTAAGTGGTTTTTGTGAGGCATAATTACCTTCATCACCGGTTTCAGTTACCGTTCTCAAGGATTCTCAGTCATGGTTTCTTATTTTCATTTAGCCCCCCTCCAATTCGCTTGTCAGTTGGTCCCTGCTAGACATGTATATCACTGTCTGGCTGTCTGAAATCTGGCTGCCTATGAATAGAATAATGTTATACCAATTATTACCGCCCAGATCCATGGCTCGTCGTCATTCAGGTGTCTTTGTGCCAAATTTGCCTTTGCTAGTTTTCGTAGTGGTATGCTGCTTGTAACCACCTCGGTTATTCTATTTTTCCATTTTGATTTATTCTTGTAGAAAGTCTGACTCTATTCCCATGCTCTCATCCACTCAGCGGCCAGATTCTTCTCAAGAGATCGATCTATTTGGCTTTCTTAATAACTCCGAGCCAAGCAGTTTCAACCGCACTGGCTTTCCCGGTTTAGTTGCTGATTTCGCCTCGACCGTTTCATCGTCGTCCCCGGCCCAAGTATCGTCTGCTGTTTATGCTTTACCTGTATCAACTAACTCTACGGTTGTTTCTGGAATTGAATATCCGTCAGTTGCCAGCGCTCAAGCACTATTACCGTCGCGATCGCTTCTTCTTACCTCTTCTCAGAATCATCATTCATCTGAGGATATGGCTAAACTCAGCATTCAAGAGCTTGGTAATTTTATTCTTTCAGCGCACTGGCAATTAAATAGCTGCCACAATTTTCAATTCTGTTTGCTACGAGTATCTTTACTTCCTTATGAATGCATACAAACTTTCGAAATACAGCATTACTCTTTAGCCATACTAAGTTTGCATTCCGTTTTACACGGTTACCAAGGCTTACCAAATATGTGTACATAATTATTAAGATTCAAGCTTTTAGTAAAGAGGTGTACGTTCATCCTCCTTTGCTGCCCCAGCCTTTGTGGAACTTAATTCTAGAATTAATATTCTTTCTGTCATGATGATCCTAGCATTTACTAGAAGTAAAACATCCCAGAGGCCCATCAAGGTACATTCTGCTCCCTATTTGTCTTATGTAAGCACAATATGCAAAGAAAGGTTTAGTTTCAAAAAAACTCATATTTCATACTTGTTGAGCTTACTTCCATTGCGAGTGAAATTGTTTGATGTAGGGATTCTACTGTCGATACTACCAAAAGACGACGGCGAATTCCTTCCGATCAGTTGTTGCTTGGCTTTATTGAAACATTTTTATTGACGCTGTGCCATATTATGGACATCATCAGAACAGGTTATCATCTTTAAAATCATAATACAGCTAGCGAGTCAAGAAAATTCACCGAAACAGTCCTAAATGCTGTCTATATAGTCTATATATAAGCTTTTTTTAAGGCATAAAGTAATTTGATTAGTTCAAGTCATGTCAACCTCGTAGCATTTGAGTTTTTGTCGTTAACGTTCCGATGATGTCTATCATACGACTGAAGAAAGCTTACCATTTTTCACTGGAATCGAAGAGATTGCCTTGGAAACAAAGTCAACAAGAGTGTTACAGTTTACTGGTCACGAGGATTCCGTCGTCGTCTTCTAGTGGGATCGACCTTCGAATTTCTTCACCAAACACTTTCGCTTAAAGCACAAGTATGCTCAACAATTGAGTAAGCAGGATTACGGAATTTGATTTCGTTCGTTCTTTGTAGAATATATGTTAATTGGATTTTATATGAGTAATGCTACACTATTACTCTAGCTTTGATCTCTAAGGCCTAGTAGTCCTAAAAGCCATAAAAATCGTATATAGTTTTCGCATCCTCGTCAGCTTACATAGACTCATTTTGTGGATTTCATTTGCTATCTCGTTATTCCTTACTTTTCCAACTTTTGTTAGCCTAGCCTTGACCATTTTTTTTCGGCTTTTCGTCTGCATTTCTACCCACACTATCATGCTTTTCGGATGTTCAGGTCATGAAGAAACCGATACCGACACTGGTTACGCTGACTCTAGAACTTGCGACTATCCTCCTCCAAGACCTTTCGATACTCCTGGCACCCATCTTGGTTCATTTGAAGCCAGTTTATTTCTGCAGACCCCAAAATCACACTCTTCTAATAACAGGCATTCGCATTCCGACTCTGCTTGCTCTCATTCCTGTAATCCCTCCTCCGACTCTTCTTCATCATCTGCATCTCTTCCTGCAGATTCTTACATGCCAGTTCATTATCATCAGAAATCTCAACCTTTACATTCTACTGAACCACATGTATCCCCACCATTATATCAACCCCTAGCGAGTTCTGTCATCGATTGCGTTCAAACCCCAGATGCCAGTCAAGCTTATCCGTCGATCAAGCTAACTTGTGCTAGCTCTAACCACATAACAACCAATCTGACCACCGATCTTGCTATGGAAAACAAAGTATTGCGCAGCGAGGTCTCCAGTCTTAACCAAGAAGTTTCAAGTCTTTTGAGAAGGAATCGTCGGGCGGACGAGGAGACGAAGCGTCTGAAAGACCAGGTACAGCCCTCTTATTTGCACACCTATACCCTCTGCACACCTGTAGTTCTTCTATTATAATCATTAAATTGGAATTTTTCAATGTAGATATTCATCAATTTTCACTTCCTACTAGGATAGTTTATGATAAGCTTATGAATATTGAAAAAATGTTTCACTTAAACACGCCTTCTGGTCATG